CTCAGCTCCCATGTGACTCTATCGGCATGTGGAGCTAAGGAAGTGGCCGAGGAAGATAGTGGACGAGGTCTCTTTACGCGCAATTTACTCAAGAAACTTGGAGAGGTTGGGGACAGCCAGACCACATACTCGGAGCTCATTCGACAAATCTCCCTTCCACGGCAAGTTCTGATTCTGTTGAAATACCTGACCGCAATCTCATACCATTTTAGGCAAAATGCGCAGTGCGAAGGCCGTAATCAAAACCGCATCTGCTTCAGCTCTGACGTTCTTAGTCGATTTGTTAGCTATCCATTCAAGAAATCCAACGAAGATTATGTAATAGAGGCAGGAGAAGCAAACGGCGTTACGACTGGAGCCATTTTTGCCGTATATAAGGAGAGAGGCTCAATGCTATCTTCCGACCCTATAGCGCTGTTTGAAGCTTTGAGGCCGGACAAATTTTCGACCAAGATGAATCCTGTCTCGAAGCTCAGAGGAGATATCAATGAAGGAGCCGTCGCTGTCCAGATCAAGGGTGGAGTAGAGGAAGGTCTTCGCATTCATTGCGCACAAGATAAGACCCTCAAAAAACTCGCAAAGACCGTCAGTCAGAAAGCAGCAGATGACAAGAAGAAAGCATACAACTTTGAAATCGTGGACACTCGGGAGGGCGCGAGTCTTGGAATTTCACTAGAATCAAAGGAAGTGGCATTCCATATATTGGATGAGGCGGTAACGAAGTATGGAATCAAGCGAATGCCTTTCAGAGTTCCATCCACTGTGGATGACCTTTACCGAGTTTTGGTAGCAGCGGCCCATTATTATTGGCACTACTCTCGTGAACCCGCCAAGTCTCCGAAAGCACCGAGTCCTCCGGTTGCAGTCGAATTTTTGGAGCTGAAGCCAGTACCCGGAGGTGAAAGGATTTTGGAGCCATGTTCCTCAAACCTGGTCAAGAATCAGACCATAGACATCACCGGAGATGAAGACAAATTCTATGGCATCAAGATCACGAATATGAAAGACTTCCCAATATATGTCTCTGTCTTCTACTTCGATCATAGCTCCTTAGAGATTCGTACGTGTTTCGACAACCTGTGTCCATTTGACAATCTACTAACCTACATCATCATTCAGTGTCTTATTATCAACCACCGACTGGACATGGCAAAGTTGACCCTTCTATTGAACCGAAAGGGAGCCTCTCGATAGGGTATGGATCAAGTGGTGCCGAGCCGTATGGTTATGTAGTCTCAGGAGATGCGGATATAGAAGTCGGCTTCCTGAAGGTCTTCGTATCTACGGAAAAGGTCGATCTTTCGAGCCTCCCGCAACCTTCCCCTTTCAATGAGGATGAGAGGAGACCAGGCAACACTCGTGGGGCCGTCCAAAGAAGGGCAGACAACCCACAGTCTTTCTGGTATACGGAGAAGATTCCCATCATAATACGCGCAGAGGAATGATGGAACAGGTCAGTAGAATAATCCTGGTTGGCACATTCCCCATATAACGAGTTTCACTGCTCAGCCTCACTTCCCAATCT